CCTGATGTGATGGTTAATTTTACATGTCAACTTGGCTGGGCCATGGTGCCCAAATATTTGCTCAAAAATTATTCTGGGCCTGGCCGAGGTGGTGCATTTCATAGCGTTTTGGACTGCAATGCTAGAAAGCCACGTGGTTGACTGTAGGTTCCACCTGCTATCTAATTTGTTGAAGGCCTTAATAAAATAATGATTGATCGCCTTACCTCCCTGAGCAAGAATTCTGCTAGCAGACTGCTTTGGGACTTAACTGCAGTTCTTCCCAGAGTTCACGGCTGCTATACTACCCCATCAGATTTTGGACTTGCCCAGCCTCTCAGTCATGTAATCCATTTTTCAGGAGAATGCTAATACATCCCACTTGATATAAATTCTATTAAAAAGATTTTGTTTATCTACTATACATTCCCAGGCAATTGTCAGACAGTGCCTGACATATAAAAGGTGTTTGGTAGTATTTGCTTAATTAATTGACTATTAGATTAACTGACATTATTCCTAGCAGACTATACAAACAGGATTTCTCGACTTTTCAATCTTTATTTTGATGGAGATTTAAAACAGTTTTATTTTTTCTTTGTTTCACTTTATTATCACTTGCTCTTATTGTCTGCATTTCAGACCTTCTGTCTAACCCATTTCTTGCAACTTCCTTGAAAAAGAAATTGAGCATACAGAGCTTGTAGGATTTTTGTGGGTTTCCTGTCCTGTTACAACTAATATGCCTCAGTTTCTTCTTGGAAAGTTTGAGTTAAATCTTTGCATTCCGCAAACTTGACTTAACATGAAAATGTAAAAATGCAAGTTGTGTGGAAGGCTTGTTAGATCACATTTAAGACAGTGACAAGGCTCTCTGCAGACCCATTTTTCTTCTGTACACTTGATGTAATTCTTTAATGCTGAACTAAGGAATGTTTCCACAAATTCAGCTCTGAAGGTCACTGCCATATGAGGTAAGGTCAGTGCTGGCATCTCCAGTGACATCTGTGTCTCTTCACTGCCCTCTACTCCAGTTTCGTATCTCTCAAATATGGAATGTATTTTGATTCCCAATGAAAAACTTCAAAGCTAAAACAATGTAAAGTGGAAAGTACATTTTGTCCAGACAGACAGCTCCAGAGGCGGAGCCTATGCACATTTTCCCAGAAATAGCATTAACGGTAACAAAGAAAAAAATGAAAACTCTGCAGCTTTCCTGAGTGCTCGACATGTAAACCAAGAACCGTGAACCTGCTCATATCAGTCTTCTGGATACAGAGTGCAATGAACATACAAAAAGGAGAGGACGCTGTTCATTCCCAGGGGACATACACACACATCTGCTATTGAGTAGCAATTATTTTATTTTTTATTTATTTATTTATTTTGCTATAGGGCGCATGCACTCGCCAGAAAGACAGAAAGAGACACAGAAAGAAAGCGAGAAATCATCCCCCGGGGGGATGGCCACGCTGCAATCCCTTCTCCTCCATTCTCCTCTCAGGATCTTGGACATGCACGTACACAGCCTGGTGTGAGTTTAAGCCACTGGGTCCAGGACTCCAATCGTGGTCAACTACATGGGAGTCCAGTGACACAGCCATTATGCTAACTGCTGGTCCCATCAATTATTATTTTTTTAATTGCCAGAGGACTCATGCATAACTCATACCTGAGAGAGAAAGAGAGAGAATAAAGAGAGAAAGAGAGATAGACAGAGAGAGAGGGTGCTTTAAAAAGTAAGAGCCACACAAACATATAATGTAAAACTTCCCCAAATTATTAATGCAGTACATGTCGCCTGCCCATCTGCAACATGCTTTTGGAAACTTGACATTGATTTTCCATTACAATCAATGTTACTCATCTTTGTATTCTGAGAAAATAGCATGTAGTAGGTGCCTAGCAAATGTCTGTTAGATCGAAGGGGGGATGGTTTAGTAGTGAAATCAGCCTAGTTTGGCAAAAGTCTTCTTATCTGTGTACTGCTCCCAGTTTTATTTTGTTTGTTTGTTTTTCTTTTTTCTTTTGTTGTTATTATTTTTTCAGATTTTTGCCATAGGGTGCATGCACTCCTTGGAGAGAGACAGTGGGAGGGAAAATGAGAAATCACTCCCCAGTAGGGATGGCCACACTGTAATCCCTTCTACCTTCTCCTCCTGGGATTTTGGGCATGCACACACACCCTCCCAACATGATTTCCAAGCCCAGGGTAGGTCTAGGGCTCAAACCGCAGTGGGTCATCTGGTAGTTAGTGTCTCAACCACCACACCAGCTGCTGGCCCTGGGTTCCAGTGGTTTTTTACAGAGAATTTTTCGTATACATAAAGTAAGCTATATTCTATGTGAACCTTACTGTCTCTGGGAGTAGAGCCAAAAACCACTATACTAGAAATCAGAATAGAGCTTAGGCAAGTTCCAGCTCTACCTTTCACTAGTGCGTGACCCTGGACAACTCAGCTACTTCATTGTCATTTTCCCTCTCGCAAGTATGGCTGTTAGAAATTTCTCTTTTTATTTAACTTTTTAGGGTTTTTGTCATAGGGCAAGAGAAAGAAACTGAGAGAGCGGAAGTAAGAAATTATCCCCCAAGGAGGATGGCCACACCACAATCCCTCCTCCTCCTGGGATTTGGGGTATGCACACACACATGCCCAGCATGATTTTAAAGCCGTCAGGCCCAGGATGTTAACGGAGGTTGGCCATTTGGGAGTCCAGTGCAGCAATCACAGCAGGTGATGACCTGCTGACCCCAGAAATGCCTCTTAAAACACATTTATCCCAAGAGGGAAAATGGTCAACAACTTCTCTTTTGGTTCTCCTTCTTTATTCAGAGGCCCCATGTGATGTTTAGAGACCTGAAAGGGATTCAGGCTGTGGTGATGAGAAGGCAGTGTGGACTCCTGTGGCTATGATTCATATATGTAGACTAGAATCTGCCAGAATTATGGCTTTACCTTCCAGCAATGAAAATGTGAGCTGTGCCATAAAAACTGAACAATGGGGGACCAGCAAATGGCATAATGGTTACATTACTGGACTCCCATGTAGTCAACTGCGGTTCGAGTCCCTGAACCCGTGGCTTAAAACTCTCACCAGGTGCATGTCTATGCATGCCCAGGGTCCCGAGAGGAGACTGGAGGAGAAAGGATTGTGGTGTGGCAATCCTCTCTGGGAGGGTGATTTCTCACTTTCTGTCTCTCTGTCTCTCCATCGAGTACATGTGCCCTATAGCAAAAATCTTTCTAAAAAAAAAAATTAAAAACTGAACAATGGCCTTGAGAAAGCAAAACTCGGGACTAATAGTTTTTAAGTTTTTAATGATTAGCAACAGAATTTACATATTCTAAATCCAATGAGAGACTATTTAAGTGAAAAATAAAAGAAGAAGAAGAATAATAACTTAGGGCACATTTCAGCTAGGATTACTTTCAAATACTTCCATATCCTGTTTTGCTCATCCCCCCCCCTTTTTTTTATTTGCCAATGGGTTTATGCGCTTACTGGAGAGAGAGAGGAAATGAGAAAGCAGCTCACAGAAGGTGGTCATGCTGCGATCTCATCTTCTCCATTTCTCTCTCCTTTTGGAATTTGGGGCACACACACATACATGCCTTGCGTGTTTCTCAAGACACTGGGTCCAGGACTTGAACCATGCAGTTGGTCCTGTGGGATCCAGTGCCTTACACACCAGACGATGGGCTGGCCCATTTTTGTTCATTTTCTTAGGAACTCAACTCTATGGCTGGCTAAGAAAAATATGACTCAACAGCATGGTCTTGGGCTTTTGTCTCCAGAAAAAAGGAACCAAAAATAGATTCCTGATTTGTTCTCTATAAAGAGGAATCATTTTTTTCTGAACAAAGATGAAGAAATTCTGTTGGACTAGGTGGAATATTTATTGTTTGCTTGAATATCCAGTGAAACTTTCTCAAAACTGTTCCTCCTGCATATAAAAAGGGAAGAAATAGACATGCTCTAAGCTAAGTATCAGTTCTGGCAGAAATTACTGCTTTTTATCCTGATAACAACTTTTCAGGATGGGCCAGCTCCACAACCTAGTGGTTAAGGGAGTTGGACCCCACATGGCTGACCATGGTTTGAATGCCTGCCTCGGTGACTTGAAAAACATACCAGGCCTCCCAAAATTTGTGTGCCCCCAAACCCAACAAGATGAAAAAATGGAGGAGAGGATTGTAGTCTAGTCATACCCCTTGAGGGATGCCTCCACCCTCTCCCATCTCTTTTCAGCAAGGCTCATGTGCCCTCTGACAATTAAAAAAAAATAATAATAACCCTTCAAGAAGGAAAATACTGCTCACACTTACAGATGAGGAAATTGAGCATCAGAGATTATGTAATTTGCCTAAAGTTACAGACTTGATAACAGAACTGGGATTCAAACTGTAACTGTTTGGAATTTCTTTTTTCCTATTCCATACTGCAGTCCCTCACTGGAACGTCATGACTGTGATAATAACAGGAACGACACTATTACCAACTGTGAACTTCTTTATTCTGTACCAGATACTGTGCTCAGAGCTCTCAGTGCCTTACCCAAGAGCTAAAGAAACTGAGACATGCAGAAACGCAGTAACTTCTCCCACAGAGACAGGGTGCTAAGTGGGAGACAGTACTCACTTTGGAGTGGTGACCCAACTCCTACCATCTGTGATGCTAGGAGGGGACTTCAAAGAGTTTGTAGAGAAATGACATACACATGTAAGTTTGTGTGGGTTGAAAAATGATTGTAAAAGCCATGCATATTTTTTCTCATGGTATGCATTTTCCATGAGTTCTTTGAAGTCTTCTCAAATTTCTACGGTGGTTTGGGGATCCCGGGTCTGAGTTGCGTTACAGATAATCTGCTCCTTCCTTGGAGACAAGTTAGCATGCGGAAGGAGCCTCCTCAGAGTTAGCCTGGGCACAGCCGATGCAGCCGTTTTGGGTGGGTTACACCTGGTTACCACGTTGCTTAGTTCAGAAATCAGTAACATTCTCTCTATTCTTATCTTTTACAGATACTTACCTCTATTCCTGGATTATTGTTCAAAAGCATTAATGCCCAAGTGACTGATGCCTACTCTGAGGGGTCAGAATGGAGGAAGAACATTTTTCAAAATAATACTCAGAAAAAAAAAGGCCTGCATCGTGGGGGCCAGTTCTGCTGCCAGCCGTGTCTTCCTGGTAAGTCACACCACATATCCCGAGATAAGTATACAAATTAGTGTGAAGAATAGCGTCATGCTATAATGAGTAACGTATTTTTATAGCTTTGGTTTTCCTATGTTATTAATACATAGGATTACTGGGAGAAGAAAATACAAACATGAAATTGTTTTTCCAAAACTGGTTTTACTCATCTTTAACACAAGGTGTTACAAGTAAATATCACTTTTAAATGATAGGGACCTCCAGAATAAGAAGATTTTTCTATTTGGCTTCATTTTTCATGAACAAAAGAAGACTCATTCATGGTTGTTTAAGCTTACCATGTCAAAACCGACCACTATCTATCATAATAATGGAGCTTTGAAAGCAAGTGATTTCTACCCTTAAAGGACGTGTTTCAGCACTTCTTTTTATTTTTTCATTTTTAAGAAATATTTTTAAATTTCTTTTTTACATTAGATTGTTGTACATCTTTGTGGGGTATGATACAGTTTTTCAAAGCATGTTGTCAGCACTTCCTTTTCATTGAAGGCCTCTAAAAAAGCTGTTTGTCCTGGCACTGAAGCCTGCAAAATACATTTGCATTTTGCAGCTGAAACTAGATGAACTAGAAAAAGAGCGGACAAAACCCAATCATTTTTTAAAAAGCAGTGCTGTGAAATACAAACCAATTTCAGATCGGAAATCCTTCCAACACTAGCAGTGTAGAGATGAGCAGAGTGTGATTGTGCAAACCTTTTTCTGCTTGGAGTAGGGTTGACTACCTTTACATATACAGATAGGGATCTCCAGCTGCAGTAAGACAGGGACATAAAGGAAAGCAACATGTGGGCCTATGAGATAGAGCCTAGAACAGTGAATGACCTACCAGGGGTCATGGTTGTCCTCCAGGCTTCTAGCACCAAAGCTGCAAAACAGGTGTGGGTCCTGCTTGTAAAACAATTCTACCAGTTTCCTTTGGCCTCCTGTCCAGATTTTAATGACCCTCATGAGAAAAATCTTTATACTCCAACCCATTTGTGCTGAAGTCCATTTATACTCATCCTTCTCCAAACAGGGATAAAGAATGGCTTTCTGACGTTTTTACAACTTGCTAAATGCAATCAATTTACCTTATGAATTGAAATCTTTGCTCATAGTTTTAAAACTTAAAATGCAAATGAAAACAAAGATAATATGCTTTGCCTAGCAATCTGTCAAAGATTTGGGTCTTTTTTATGTTTTTGATTTTGCATTGTTTTATTTTCACTTAATAAGTAATCTCAGCCCTAGTGGGCTTATTTGCAAAAGAAGATCTCTCATATATAATTATTGGAATGCAAATTGTCACAAACTTTTAAGAAAAGAATTTGGATATGCGGGTCAAAAATTTGAATGTATGTTTATACCTACTGACGGTAATTGATTTATAGGAAGATGTCTTAAGAAAACAATCATAAATAAAGGCAAATATTCAAAGCATGACATTTCAATATGATACCTAATGATGTGGAATTGCTTAAATAAATTTTGGAGTAGTCAAAGGCTGGGGTATTATGTATTAATCAAAGTCTTTTTTTTCTGACTTTTTTTAAGAATTATTTTTTATTTAATTTTACTTATTGTTGTATTATTCTTTAAGTTTTTTTTTTGTTGTTGTTGTTCTAGGGCTTGTATACTCCCCAAAGAGAGATGAGAGAGAGAGAGAGAGAGAGAGAGAGAGAGGAAAAGTGAAAAAGCAAGTCGGAAGGTGTGGGACTCAAACCACAGTCAACTGTGTGGGAATCCAGCACCTTAACAATCACCATGCCACTTGCTGGCCCCCTGATTTATTTCTAATACAGTTCTTACATAAATCCTCTGAAGTGATTTCTAATTGACTACCTGTCTGGGTTAAGTGGTTCTCTCCGCTTCTTGTCTAGAATATTCTCGATGGCATCTGACATGTGTTAATTACTCTTGCTGGTTCTATTCCTTCTTGTTGAATGTTAGGGTCATCAATATTCAAGTTGCATCCAAATCTGTTTTGACTCATTGATGTTGTCGTAATGTACTTTAATTAAATATTATATAATCAGTGAAATATGAATACAGAGAAGACAGATATATTTCTGTGAAAAACTAGATTGAATATTTTGGAGATTTTCAGTAATGATAAGCTGCTAAAAAATAGTTCATGTAATAAATATAAAACAGTGGGAAAGAATCATGAAAAATCTCTAAAGTGATTCAAATAGATTATTGCTTAAGTTTTCTTTTCATCAAAAGGAAAAGAAGGAGAGAGAAAAGCAAGGAAGGCAAAGAAAGAGAAAGGAAAACAGAAACAAGAAATCTTAAGTGAAGCATTACGGATGTGACTTAAGTAGGAAAGAATTTGGAATTCTAATAACTTGACTCTACATTATAAACTTCACAAGTGCTTATATGAGTTATGTTTTATAAATCAAAATAAAATATGTATAGTATTATTTTTAATGATTATGTGAGCTGACTTTTTTTTTTTTTTGGAGAGATTTTTGCTATAGGGCGTGTACGCTCGCCAGACAGACAGAGACAGAGAGACAGAAAGTGAGAAATCACCCCCCAGGGGGGATGGTCACGCCGCAATCCCTTCTCCTCCATTCTCCTCTCGGGATCTTGGGCACGCACGCACACGCGCCCGGCGTGAGTTTTAAGCCACTGGGTCCAGGACACGAACCGCGGTCGACTACGTGGGAGTCCAGCGACATAGCCATTATGCTAACTGCTGGTTCCCGAGCTGACATTTTTGAAAGATTGATTTTTAAAAAACCTTACCACATTACTGTCTCCAATAAGAAGGATTGTATATTATACATATTATATATATATAATATGTATGATATATAATGTATAATTAGTATATATATTTATTATATAAAATTAATGATTCTATCAATTTTCCTTGGCCTGCTGTCCAGACTTTAATGGCCCTAAATAATGCATACTTATTATGAATACATATACACACATGTACACACATATATATATGTGTATTCATATACATAGGAATGCAACAAAATTTAGGCAATACCTAACAGTAGTTGATATATAGGTGCTTTTTATATTTTCCTGCTTCCTACAATTTTATTATCATTATCATTATTATTATTATTATTTTAATTTGCTACAGGGCATGTGCACTCACCAGAGAGACAGAGAGAGAGAAAGAGAAAGAGAAAGCAAGCTGCCAGATCTGGGACTCAAACTACTGTGAGCCATGTGCAAGTCCAGCACCTTAACCATCACATCACCTGCTGGCCCCAGCTATGATTTTTTTTTTTTACAATAAACATATATATTTTATAGTCAGAACATTCTTTTAAAAATATTTGAAAAAAAACCAGACACTCATTTAACATTTTTTAATAAATTTAGATTGTATGCTTTGGAGCAAAGAAAGAACCTGTGATTTATGGTATCGCTATCATGTGGCCAGCATTGCTCTAGGCACATCAGCAAGGTTATTACTTAAAGGGGCCAATTCTCTTAAAATCTCATTTGTGGGGCGAGCAGGTGGTATGGAAGTTAAGGTGCTAGATCCTCCCATGGCCAACAGCAGTTCAAGACCTGTACCTGGCAACTTGAAAAATCACAACAAATAAATAAATAAATAAACGAATAAATGTTAAAAATAATTCACTGCTGCTAGCAAGAAATAAAATTGTACTTTGGCTCAGTTTCTTTAAAATGTAGCTATAGTGTTGGGGCCAGCAAGTGTCATGGTGGTTAGGGTGCTAGACTCCCCCATGGCCAAACTCTATTAGAGCCCTGGACTTGGTGGTTTGCTTTCTCACTTTCTCTCTCTCTCTGTCTCTTTGTGGTGAGTGCTTTATAGAAAATTAAAGTAATAATAATAGTAAATTAAATTAAATAAATAACTTACAAAAATTATTGCTACAATGTTATATAGCCTTGATACCTTACATTTGAATTTTGTTCTGGGTTTCCAGTTTACTTACTTTTTCTGGCAAACTATTGTCTTTGTTTACTAAAATATCATATATGTTGCCTTTCGTAATCTGCTTATGTAGTAAATATTTTGTTTTATCACAAAGAATGTTATAAGGTTTTGTTTTGGTTTTTAAGGTTTTTCCCATAGGGTGCATGTACTTGCCAGAGAGAGACAGAGACAGTGAGAGAGAAAGTGAGAAATCACTCCCAGAGGGGATGGCCACAGCACAATCCCTTTTCCTCCATTCTCTCCCCAGGATTCTGGGCACACGTACCCGGTATGATTTTCTTTCTTTATTTATTTTTAAAAAAAGAGAGAATTTTTTGCTAAGGGTGTGTGTGCTCACTGGAGAGACAGAGACAGAAAGTGAGAAATCACTTTCCAGGCCACAATCCCTTCTCCTTCATTCTCCTCTTGGGATTTTGGGCATGCAATGCACATGCGCCAAGAGTGACTTACTTACTTTCTTTCTTTCTTTCTTTCTTTCTTTCTTTCTTCCTTTCTTTACATTCATTCACTGTACATCATTACAACATACAAAATGAGATTTTTCCATCCAGAATACACATCAACATATGTGTTATTGTCAACAAATAATTTTCCATTTCTTATTTCCTATTTATTTTACCTTTTTCCCCATTCTTTATTCCCTATATCTCACCCTCTGTTCTTTCCCACCCTCCTCCCACACTGTGTCTGGTATTTATTGTTGCTTTCTATGCCTTCCCCCCACCCATTTTATTGTTTCACTAAATATCTTAATTAATCTAAATATTTTCAATAGCAAGCACAGCTGATATATACATATCCATGAACACATATCTGACTTTAGGCATAAACCTCAGTGAGAAGAATGAATATACTATAAAGTAGCACCTAGCAGGGTCTGTATAGCTTACAACAGTCATCAAATAGGTATTTTTAATGCTTTTTTTTTAATTAAAAGAAAAACTGTTTAGTTTTTTTTTTTTTAATTTTAATTTACATTCATTTCCTAAGTATCATCACAGCATACAAAATGTGATTTTCAAGTTTCCAGATCTGGGATTTGAACCATGATCAGCTATGTGGTAGTCCAGCAACATAACCATTACATCATCTGCTGGTCTCCAGTGTGATTTTCAAGATGCCAGATTCGAATCTCAAGCCAGGGTTGGCCATATGGGAGTCTAGTGCCTTAATCACTCACTATGCCACCTGCTAACCCCAAGAATATTATGAGGTTATTATGTAAGTCACATATTTAGGAAACATAACATAAATTATCCTTGGTGTGCATGTGAATGGAATAGGTGCAACCAGCATGATTTTCAACAGCTGGGTCTGGAACTTGAACCATACAATTGGCCATAGGATCCAGTGCCTTAACCTCTGCACAGCCTGAGAAAGCAAAGCCCTTGGAGATCAAGGCTTTGTCTTATCTCCTGCGCAATCTCTAGGCCCTAGAAAGAGTCTACCACACAATTGACATTTAATAAACACTTGCTAAAATAAGTGAATTTTCCAGAAGGCATTATTGTGTAATGCTTAGTAGTAGCAATCCTGTGACTCACTTCATTTTTAAAGTAAGCTAAAGGAAAGCAAACATAAATATCATTTGAAATGGTTTGTAGTAAGACAACAAATCTGATACTAAATTATGCTATAAATATGTTCATGTCTGTCCATCAAAACATACCCTGCACCTTGATAAAGGAATGGAAAGAAGCAGATGAGTAAAAGGCACCTTATGAGTGCAGGCAGGATACAGTTCTGATAGAAATGCAAGAGAAGTCTTATTATCTTTATTATATGCATGACAAAATTGAGGCTTAGAGAGACTAAGAACTTTGTTAAGATTTTATAACTACTAACGATTTGACCCAGGTCTTTAAAACTTCACGTGCTCTTTTCCTTGAACTGCATTATCTCTTACCAGAATTTGTGGATTTCAGAAAGTAAAATGAGAAGTCAAAACAAAGTGAATTAATTCAGTAATCTGAGTAGCCACCTCTACCCTGAATATATACCTATCAACATCTCCTCTCTCCCAGAGAAGTTAGGGGTAAGAGCATTTCTTCAGTGCGTGTGGTTATTCTAATCCTCCCTCCCCACCTTTATATGCTCCTATTGGTTATCATTCTATTTCTAGAGGCATATTCCTTCAGTTACTCTTTTAGTTTTTGGGAGACTTTCTGCTCCTGGCATAATTTTTACAGCCTTTTTCTCCATTGTATTCATATATCATTAGCTTAATGCTCTCCCTGCTTTTACCCTCATTTTCAGAGTGGTTTCTTGTTAGTCAGTACCTCCTATGCTGGAAGGTATGGCCACCTTTCTCATACACTTGCCCCTTGTCTTCTTGGGCAGGTGAATGGAAAGCTGATGACTGCACAGTTGATGAGGGAAAACCAAGATGCAAGCCCTGCCAAGAAGGGAAGGAGTATACAGACGAAGAACATTATTCTTCTAGATGCCGAAGATGTCAATTTTGTGATGGAGGACATGGTAAGTGTCTCAAAAAGCAATTGAAAGAGGCCCGTTCTGGTGGTCTCATGCTATACTGGCATAGAGGAAGAGGCAATTTGGGGCTGGCTGGGGTAAAGCAGGTCTAGGTACTAAGCCAGTCACTAGTTTGGGGCTGGCTGGGGTAAAGCAGGTCTAGGCACTGAGCCAGTCACTCCTCTAGATATTTGTGCGTGAAATCTAGGCAGTATTTCTAGATCTTGCCAAATAACTAAATATGAACGCTGTGAATGGCGTTTATCAGCACCACTGAACACCACAGAAACATTTCCCGCTGACTAGATTTATGCCTGTATGATGACTCTTACTCATGGCCAACAAGGGCTCTGAAACTTTCAGGTACAAGGACGCAGAAACCCAAGATGTAGGATGCTCTTTCTTCTTTGGGGATTGGGTTTGTCTCAAACATTCCAGCGGGGGACCTGAGTTTTTATGATAGCTGAATCTCTTCTAAGGACCCAGATTAAAATATCACAGAAGTACTCCTAGTTTTCCTTGACCTCAAACACCCAGATGTAAAGTTTTTCCTGTCCTTATTCAGACTCTAAAGCAGTATTTCTCAACGCTGGCTGTACATTAGAATCACCCAGGGAGCTATTAAAAATGCCAGTGTTTAGGTTCCACTCAGAGCAATTAAATTGGAATTTCTAAGTGAGGACCTTGGCACTGGTCTGACTGATTAAGTCTAGTATGGGGCCTGGCATTCTGTACTTCTACTAAACTCCCTGGTGGTGCTGGCCCGCAGGCCCCACTTTGAGGAATGAGGCTCCAGATTAGAGGAACAGGGGGCTCTCAAAGCAATAACGGCAGTTGTGTCTTGGTTGCTGGATTGTCTACGAAAAGCCTTGCTGAATGATTGCTGCTGATTTCAAACTGAGGTTGCCTGCTTGGCATTTAAACACGAGTGGTATTGCCAAAGGTGATGGCATGACTGTTGATATATATAATGGATCTCAAAAATCTGTGCAGCTCGTTGCAGTTTTGTCATAGTCCATGTATTACTAACTGCTTTAATTAATAAGTTTGCAAACTGGTTTTCTAGGTTTAGAAGTGGAAAAAAATTGTACCCGGACCCAAAATACCAAGTGCAGATGTAAACCAAACTTTTTCTGTAGCACTTCTGTGTGTGAACACTGTGACCCTTGCATCACGTAAGCTTAATCTTTTTTTTTCTGATTAAAACGCTAGATATTCTTTGAGGGATTTTTTCTTCTTAGAGGGAAGCAGTGCTGACTAAGAGTCATGAGTTAGGGTTCAAGTCTTCCTTTGCCTCCGAGCAATTAGATGCCCGTGCTCATTCAGACATTATTGAGCACTGAACATTATTGAGCACTTGCTGTGTACTTGACACTGTGCCGGCTGCTTAAGCTAGTGACGTAAGCAAGACACGTACCTGGCATCACGGTCTTAGTCCATAGGCTAAGGAATTAAGAAAAGCAGCGATTACGCTGTGTCGATGCCCGATGCAAGCATACAAAATAACTTGTTCCCAGGTGTCACTTACACAGAAAAACCTTTCAATTCTGTCTGGAGAAGACGGGGGTGAAGATCTGACACCTAGACTGAGCCTTGAGGGAAAGAAAGATGGAGCAGGAACAGGTGTGCGTGGATGGAAAACCTATTTCAGGCAGGGGAACAGCAGCTATAAAGAGATAGGAGAGGCCCAGGAGAATGAGCTACCAGGCCAGAGTGCAAGAAAGACAGAAAAAAAGTCAAGGCTGGATTATGAAGAGTTCGAAAGATTAGTTTTGACTCTAAATCAGAAAACTTCATTGTGCTTCTCACTTTTTTACTGGTTAGCTGAGTTAGTTTGAGCAGGTGACTGCACCTCTCTGAGCTTCAGTCTCCTCACACATAGGATGCAAATCATATTTTCTTGTCCAGCCTGCTTTATTTGTGTGAAGATTGGATTAGGTAATATTTGTGGTAAAAATAGCTTCTGCTTTGTAAGATGCTGTTTTGTAAAACAAAAAGCTTGTAATTTATCTTGGGGAGACTTTAAAGAACTCATCTAATAGGATTCAAAAACAGGGATATAATACCATTTGTCTTATTTGCTAGAAAAATTTTCTGTGCTCTATCCCCAAGTGTCTGAGCATGCTCTAATGATGGCTGCCTAGTAGGTATTGGGGGAAGGGTGTAACTCAGTAAGACAACAGCAATAGCAGCAGTTCAAATCTTGATTTTTATAATTTTATTTAATCTTCTTCTCACCTTAATTTTATTGTGTAGCACAGATAATATTTTCTCCCTGTTACGGATAAAACATATAAGACAACAAGCTCATGATATTATCTTGCCCAAATTCACTTACTTAGGTAATGGGCAAAGGCAGGCTGTGAGCTCAGACAATCTGTCAGCATTTGGCTACCTGAATATCTGAAGAATCCCATGTTAACCTTTTTTTTTTACCTACAAGTTACTTTCTGGAGAGTTATAGAGAGAGACATGGAGGGAATGAGAAGGCACTCTGCCACGAGGGATAGCCACACCTCAATCCCTTTTCCTTCATTTCTCTTTCCTTTCAGGATTTTGGGGGCACACACCTAGCATGTTTTTCAAGTCACTGGGTCCAGGACTCAAACTGCCCAGGCAGCCTTGTGGGGTCCTGTCACCCCAACCACCATGCCACTGGCTGGTCCACTCTGAGATCTTCAAAAAGTCACTCCCTAAGATATTTTTCATCTAAACATCCAAACTATGTTATTAACTTATACTTACGTTAATCTAGACATATCTGAGATGATATGTTTGCCAGAGATGCAAAGATGAATAAAACAACCCCTGATGAATCATGTACCACTGAGAATGATAGAAGAGTCGGTCTTCCAGGCTTTCTGAAAGTTCACTGTATTTTTTTTCTAGGTGTGAGCATGGAATCATCGAGGAGTGCACACAAACAAGCAATACCAAATGCAAAGAACAAGGTAATTACTTCTTTTTAGGTCTCTCCTATCCTCACAGTAAAATTTCCAGAAAACTCAATTGCTTTGGATTCATTTTTATAAAAGTTCATTTACTTATTTCCTCCAAGACAGAAAGAGACAGAGAGACAGGCTTTCCCAGTCTCAGCTGGTATGATTTGCATTCTCCCCACACCCACCCACTGTGGTCAGGGAGGTCCCAGGACATAACCCCGCACCTTTCCCACATGGATCCAGTTGCATTACCATTGCACCATCATCCGGCCCTTGCTTTTGTACTTGTTCTTAAACCTTACTTCTTTTCAAAAAGAATTATTGGGACCAGCAGGTGGCGTGTTGGTTAAGGCACTGGACATTCCCACATGGCCAACCATGGTTCAAGTCCTGGATGTGGTGGCTTGCTTTCTCACTTTCTCTCTTTCTCTGTGTCTCTCTCTGGTTAAAATAAAATAAGTAAATGAATAAATAAAATTAAAAATAAATAATTTTTAAAAAAGAATTATTTGATTTTATTTATCATCATCATTATTATTTTTAATTTGCCACAAGGTGCATGCACTCACATGAGAGAGAGGGGGAGAGTGAGAAAGTAGGCCACCAGGTCCAAGACTCAAACCATGGTCAGCCGTATAGGAGTCCAGCTCCTTAACTACCATGCCCCCTGCTGACCTGAAAGATGACTTATTTTTATATAAAATGTCCAATGTTCTGATCTACAGGATCCAGATCTAACTTGCTGTGGTTGCTTGTCCTCCTGGTCCTGATTCTAGCAATAGCTTACGGTAAGTTCTTATGCTGTTCAAATTATAGATTGAAATAAATCAGGAAATAGCTGTCCTCAAGAATTTCCCATCGTGTCCTACCTATAAGAATGCTAGTAGGCAGGTGCAAATGTTGTACTGTTAATTTTCTACCACCAAGTGCCCTCTCAACAGCTGATAAGAAAAGATATTACCCCTTATCTACTGTTTCTGAACAATAGTTTTGGATCATTGAATGGTATTCTCTCCTCCCTAGGAACAAGAGTTCCTGCAGGGCAGAGCTGGCAAAAAAAAAAAAAAAAAAAAAAAAAAAACAAAAGT